TCTACAATATCCATCTTTCGTAATTTCTCACTCCCACTAGATTGGTCATTTTCAATAAACTGAGCATTACTAGACTCAACTATTTTTATATTATGATTAGGACAAAAGAATCTATATCCTTTAGACTTTTCAATATAGCCAATGAAGAAATCACTAACAGTTTTTGCATCAAGCTTATTTTCATGTGGATTATACATTCTTACTACTATTGGACAACCCCAAATATGGAGATATCTTAAACTGGGTTTTCTTCCTATAGTTCTTAAAGAATCTTAGAAACTGCCTTACTAGGAACATTTTTAAGCAGATATACAATAATATTTAAGGCATGCATCCCCAAAGATAAATGTACAATAATATAACTTAGCATAAACCTAACCATATCCATTAAAGTATGGTTTTACCTTTCAACACCACCATTTTATTAAGGTGTGCCAAACATATTTATCAAACAGTTTCCTAATAGAATCATGTTAGACATAACTACACACATTTATATAAACTCATCCATCAATATTATGAAAACTTGATGAATTCAAACTATATAAACTTTAATCATGTATCTAATTTATTTTGGTAAAATAAATACACTCAATTTCCATAACAGACAGTTTAATGGATAATAAAATATATCATTTTTGACATATATGACATCTTTGGATAGACATACACTTAATACGAATGAAAATAAAATAATTTATATTATTAGTTATTAACAATGATTTACTTTGGGTAATCCAAAAATATTTTATAACTATAAATTCTAGTTAACCCAAAAACCAATTAACGTATGCATAATTCAATATCCTTTATTTTAAGTGTAATTGACTTAATTCCACTTTACTTTGCAATTAATTAAAACATAAAATTTAATCACTTTAATGATTACAAATTTACCATATAATTAAAATTCCTAAATTAAAACAATATTCCATTACCAAATATATATATATATATATATATATATATATATATATATATATATATATATATATATATATATAGTGTAACAGTGAACATGTTTTCTCACTTCAAAGTTTTTATTACAAATCATCTACCAATTCAATTCTAATTAGAATTGCAACTTATAAAAAGAGCTTAATTGAATTTCACTTCATCCAAGTGAAACTAACAATTACATATAATTAATAAAGCAAAGCACCATGTGTGGGAGTGTGATCACTTTTCAAATTTAAAGCATTCAAAACAATAACTTTCCTATTCAAGGCATCTTAATATGATATTAAAATGCAGTAAAATTCAATTCACGTGGTGCAGCGAAATTCAAGTAAATTTCATAAATAAAATCCCTAAATTTCATAATTTTAAATTAGGATTTCTTTAAATTGCGGAAAATATAATTCACAAAGAATCATAACTTCCTAATCTGGCTTTGATACTAATGTAAACTTGTAGTTTCAAATTTTATAATTCAATTCAAGAAACTACTCTATTTCATAGGAACTTTAAAATCTATGATTCTCACAAATATATTATTAGAAGTGTTCAAGAACTTACTTAGATCCATTGTAAAAGATCTCTAGATGGATATTTTCAATAATTTATTTTGTCAAAGCCACTTGCCTTTCAAGAAAGTAACTTTTAATCTTCCATAGAAGAAACTGCCCTTTAACAAAGAGAAGACATTGATTTTAATAACTCTAAAAATAATTTTCATAACTTTAATACATTTATAATCTAATAATTATTATATTAAAACCTTTACATTAAATTTATTTTATAAATTACATGAGTCAATGTTAGATTAAAATAATCTAACAAAACATACCTATGAATTTTATTCTATGACTTCCAAGAACAACCAAGAAAAAGGATTCAATCTTTGGGATTATGAATATATTTTCTAGGATAATACATTTTATTCATGGTACAAACTAGATGATGAATGTCCTATTGCAAATTTCTTCTTGAAGGAAGTAGTGAGGCTATATAGGCGTCCTAGAAGCATTGTATTCGACACGGTTACAAAGTTCTTAAGTCACTTTTAAAAAATAAATAAAATTGATTAATAAAACTTATCTCAAATATTGAGATGCATTATTTTTTAGAATCCAAGTGTGTAAGAGGACATTTTGCCTCATGTCATGTTTATTTATAATAGAATGACTAACTTCATAGCTTTCGATATTCTTTTTGAGTTAACTTATGATTGAAATCCCTCACTCCTGTTGACCTATTTCATCTTCTCAATATTGTCTTTATATTATGTAAATATGGTTTTGAAAATACAACTTTCATAAATATGGTTTTGAAAATACAACTTTCATAACTGATTTACAAACTAAATTTAAGTCCAAATTAAGAGGAAGGTAGACCAATACTCTAGATATGATAATAAGGAAAGGAAAAATTATTTATTTTTAGCCTAGAGATTAAGTTTGGCTCCACTTTAAGAAAGAAGAGGTTTTCTTCTTAAAGGAGAACTTTATCCTTGAGGAGATGAATATTTCGGAATGAACAAAATTAATAACAATTCATGAGTTAGATCTAACACATGAATATAATGTTGGTATAAAGTTTAATGGGGAAGATCTCATGTCCTTTGATGCAGGATTTATTAATGAATGGACAAATTCTCACAAACCTATGATGAATCCATGAATGGACTGCCAAAGAAGGGACAAGGGAATGCTCTTTCATGAAAAATCATTATGAGCATGAGTCCATCCCAACCCCTTTTTCTCATCACATTTCTTTAGAAATAAAGTAGCTTTCATTTAGTTTTTCCCTTTAAGGTGGGCTTGTAATTTAAACCTGAGGTAACTTTGGACATGGTTTAGGACTTCATTTAAGCCTCACATCTGATGATCAATAAACTACAAAACACCACATGTTAAAGATAAATATTTGGGCTATGGTTCAAGTTTAACTACTACTACATAGTCATGACCTAGACTAAGAGAAGAGAAGTCTTGAAACATTAAAGACATGTTTCTCACTTTTATCTGCCTATATTAATTGTGAGAAACATGACTCACATTACCTTGAATTTTGGTTCCTAAAAGACAAGGGATTTGAATTTCAAAATTCAGCACTCTCTCGATTTTTCTCCTCTATGACACAACCTCTCTCTCTTATATGAAACCTTAAAATTTGATGCATAATAAGATTATTTTGATACATAACAAGGTTATTTTCTTGGATTGACAATGAATTTCTTTCTACAAAAATCTTATTTGATCCACCCAACTAAATGGTTTTTCATCATTTATATTGAAATTTCAAGTGACTTGGATTCATATTCATCCTAGATCACTAAATTCCTTCTTATATTTCTCTCTTTAATTGTTTATTTCTTTAGTTGCTTACTTCTACTTCACGTTTACGTCACTTCTTTTATCTCTCATTTTCAATTTTCTTTCCCAAATTCATTAACTTAGCTTCTCTGGGATTAAACTAGTTTCCACTGCACTGGTAAGGGTTAGAAGAGTTCTTTCACTTGCATTTTATCTTCTTTTTTTTTTTTTTTTCAAGTATTTTCACAAACACTTGTAAGACTTCCTTGATCTTTATCAATAATAGTATTAAAGACACATAAACAAAACTACAACTTAAGACAAAGGAAAAATTGAGGAGACATGACACATCTCATGTATGAACATGATCTATGGTGATGATGTATAAGTGTTTTTTAAAATTTGATACAATGACTATTGTATACAAATATTATCGTAACAATGCAACTATCATAAAAAAAAAAATCTCCTATTCTAAAAATATCATTATCTCGTTTTTTTCGTCATCATCCACAAATAATCATTATTAAAAAAATATTATTAATGACTTTTTTTTCATGTGAATTAATTATTTGTAGCTACCATTGTCATAATTTGCAACATAAATACTTTTTTACTTAGGTGTAATGTTTTAAGTTTAGTCACTGCTAAATTGATTATTAGATTGCATTTATTAGATCATTTGTCAATTTTTTAAATATTATAAAATCAAATAAAAAATAAAACTAAACCAATTTTATATTGTATTTAAACAAATTAAAATTGAACGACATAATATTTTTATATCTAGTTGAATGATTTTGCTTTTAAACATCAAAGAGATGTACACTTAATGATTTTTATAAAATGAAAGAGGGAGAAGGTAAGGGATATTAAATAGGAATTGAGAGTATCAATATATCCTTGTTTATATATATAAGGAGAAAACATTTATTTATGTTAAGAATAAAAATAATATATTTATTATTTATCATTATAATTTATCTTTTAATAAAGGTTGAGATAAATTATTATTTTAAATTATTAGATTATTAAAAAACTATAATAAATAAAATAATGTTTAAATTTTAATTACTTTTTAAAATAAATTATCATTATTATTAAGCAGTTGAAAAAGTATGAATTTTAAAAGAAGTTTAACCAAAACAAATTGATAAAGACCTGAATGAAATGACACAAATTTGAATTATTTAAAAAAAAAAGTTGTAGTGAATTTTTATTTTAGTTTATTTTATACAAAAATATTTTTATTTAAAATTGTTTACCAATTGTAATTTATAAAAGAAAAAAAATATGTTTCAAGAAAAGATAAAATAAAATATCCACAAATAATTTAAATGGTTTAACTAATAAAAAAAAAAAAAGAATAGTTTAATTTGAATCAATTCAATTTATTCAAACAATTCTATATTTAAGTTTTGGGAAATTAATTTTGGAGTTCAATATTATAATAATCCTGTTAAATGTAAGTATTTTGTTGACCCTTAAATACAAATATGAAACAAAAAAGAATATTATTATTTTAATTTTTATTGGGAAAGTGAATAAAATTGAAGTCTCATTTATATCATTGGGAATAGTAAGAAGTCTAATAAATTAGTGTAATGAGAAATATTATTGAAAGATGTATGAAATTTTTCGAATTTTGTTTTAAAAAGGTGTGAAAGAGATAAAAAGATAGAATGTGGTCCATTCTGTAATGTACAAACAACATAAAAAAAATATATACAGAGGACCACAAACCCAATAAATTTTCTTTAGTAGGGATGACGTACGCACTTGTCTGCACGCCTACAAAGCGCATGCTAACTCAACTACAAAAGCCTCCCAGAATTTTATTTCTTTTATCTTTCTCTTTCTCATCATTTTTTTCCCCTTTTATTTCTACAATTTATCTTTCTTCCATCTTCTACTTCATTTATATATGCCCATAAATGAAAGTTAATATGAAAAATATTTCTTAAATACATTAGAGATTGATATTTCATAAATATTATAAGAAAATTTTATTACCCTTTATATAAAGTCATGGATAATTAAGATAAAATTATTTTCAATTTTTTGTGTTGTAAATTATTTGATTAATTTTATATATTAATTCTTATTTAAGATTGTGTCTATAAAATATGAAATTTTACATATATAAAAAATTATTATATTAGAAACTTATAATTCATGTAAACTTATCAGTAATTATTTATGAAAAAGATAAATTCATTGGAAATTAAAATACAATCTTATTACTAAGTGATAAAATTAATCTTTGAAATTGATTTTTTTACTTTCGTAAAAGCCTAAAGAAAAGTACATTATAATTATATAATAAAGACATAAACTAGAGGTATATGGTAGTTTTATTTTAAAGTTTATTACAACGAAATATAAACATCAATTTTTTTCTTAATCTACTAAACGTTTTTTTAAAGATAAAACTATAATATATTACAACTCCAAAAATAAGAATTGATGGTAACGAATATCAAGTCAAAATATTTTTCTCCATAATGAGAATTATATTATTTATTACACAATTAAAGTAACTTTCATCGATTTAATCATTGAATTATAACTATATTGTCAAATATTATAAAGTATTTAAAAAATAAAATATAATCAAATAATTCACATTTTAATATATCTTAAAAGTATTTATTATATTAATTTTGTTTTATATAAACAAAATATAAAATAATTTAAACCAATGGTAAGTATAATTTATATAAAAAGAAATTTAATTCAAACATATTTTAATGATGAATTTTTTAATTAAGAAATATTGAATAATGTAATAATTGAGGTAAGTGGTATAACTTTCATTAATAATACTTAATCCTTTTCCATATTGTAAGTAGACATTAAAATATCAGCATATTATGTATTTATATATAAAATATGTAACATATTGATAAATTAACATAAAGTATTCAACACGATTAAATAAAATACATGGACACAAGTGTAATTAAAATTTTTATTTTCATAAGCTGTTTACAAAGTTTTTGCACAGAGGATGATTTAATTAAGAGGAGCATCCATATACATAACTCATTAATGCACAAGTGATCAATATTAACATAAGGTTGTTATTTATTTCTTTAAAATATATATATATATATATATATATATATATATATATAATAAATACACAATCATTAATAAATAATAGGTAAAAAATTATTTGAGATAAAAATATTTTGAAAGATAAAAGGTACATTTAAATATTTTATTTTAATTATTTAAATTTTAAGATTAAATAATTTTTTATACATTTTAAGGGATACAATTAATCATTATTAAACTCCGCTATTGTATTTAACCGATTTAAAACTATAATATTAACTTAGATACGTACTTAATATATTGTTAAATAAGTGTTTTCTATTGAACATTAATCATTATAATTATACTGATACGAAATAATCAACATTGATCAGTTTTAATAAGGCAATTTAAATACAGTTAAATTGTTATAACTAATATATTTGTTATGTAATTTTGATAAATATAAATTATTAATATATAAAACTTAAATATATTTATGGTCACTTAAAATTGTGTTTATTTTTAGTATTTTAAATTTTAAATAATTTTTTTTATATTTCTTCTAGTTTGAGAAAGTTTATTATACTCTTTCCTCTTTAAATGTTCTAAAAGAAAATAAACACGTTATTGTATAATAAGTTAAAATTTTTTGCCATAATACACTATTTGTCATAGTTAGTTATATAAACAAAATTTTAACCATATTTAAGACACAAGGACTGAAAAAAGTATTTTTCGAATCACAGAAATGCAAAAAAATCAATTTTAAAAATTTAAAGAAAAATAAACTTACATCAAAATTTGAGAGACTAAAAATATATTTAAATCAATATATAATTTAAAATAAAAAATAAAAAATAAGCAGATATACAAACACAATAATAATATAAATTTTAATTTATTTACTTATTAATTAAGTATTATTATTTTTATATTAAAATATTCATGGACAAGAAAATAAAAATATAATATTATTCATGATTTTTTTCAAAATGTTAGTATGATTTTATGTTATAAAATAAAACTAAAGTCATGCCTTGAATTAGGTTGTTTGATTGGAATTCAATACAAAAATTATAAAACTAAACCAAAATGTGAACCATAATAAAATCTTTACATGACTTCATTTTTTTCTCATTTTAATTGTATTAAATTAACTATTTTAATATTGTAATAGTATTATTTTGATCTACAGAATAATTAAAATATATTAATATAACATTGGTTTATGACATATTTAAAGGATTAAAATAAATAAATAATTATGATGATATGTAAAAATTTTGATGGATAAAAAAATGAATCTTATATTAACATTATTTTAAGAATATAATTAATCAATATAAATAAAACTTAAAAATTAGAATGAAACCTTTACATCTAAACCTATCACTTTATACATAACTAAAATTACTCCCTCGTTTCATTGTCCTATGAGAGTCTATATGACAAAACAAAACTATGAGAGAGTACAAATACAAGACTAGCAGTAACCGCTATTGAATATAACACCACTTTCTTTCTCATCAAACCGCGTCAACACAAATAATGGTTGTGAGCCATACTGGTCAAAAGTTTCTTTCACTGCCATATAATAAATTGTTATTAATAACTTTAATTTGTTTCGTTCATACATTAATTGAAAGCAGCGTTATGAGGTGTCAGAAACTGCAAGTTGTTTGAACAAGATTCTATGTAAATTAAGACAGACTAATGAAACACTGCTAAATATATTCGTGTAAGCAATGAAAAAAAAGTCTTGAGATGATAAGGTACTGTGGAGTCTGAATTGTTTCCTTATTTCTATGTTTAAAAGCCGTTGAATAATTAATTAGGACCACAGAGACAAATATGTAAAACTTTTTCGGTCATTTTTCTTTGATGACTCTATTCTAGAGGACCCGTTGAAAACCTAACCGCTGCAACCACTGAGTCTTCTTAATTTAATTTTTATCTTGGATCTTGTGATATATTATTGTCTACTACAGAGTCTGCTTTCAAATTCAGTCTCTGCCTGTGATTTTATGTCGCCTCCTTTTCATTGTCAGTGATAACTGTAGATTCGGAAACATTTTTCTCTCTTTTCCACACTTTGTGTGGATGGATGCTTCCATGCTTCATCAAGATGCTGTCAAATAGGGTACAAAGATGAAGACAGACACGAGACTCATTGTCTACTACGCTCTAATACACTCTGCATTTCTTCACACACATCTATGTGTATATATGCAGACCTTTGGACTTTAGCATGCATCTTCACAGCTTTTTTTTTTAATTTCCCTTGATTCAATTCTCAAGAGACTAAACGTAACCATATGTATGAGCATTCAATTTCATATTATTTTATAATTTAACAGCATTATCTCTTCGAAATTTTATTTTACAGTTTTTCTTTTCTCATTGCACAAAATATAACTATATGAATACAATTCTTCTCTTTATCATTTGGCCAATATTCTTTCTTTTCCTTTTCCATCTTACTATATATAGGGTGTCATGGTAGGTTGCATCTCCAAGGCTTTTCTTTGTTCAAAGTTATCTTTAATTACTATTTTTTCCTACTATAAGTTTGTGGCAGACCTTCACATGCAGTAGGTCGGCATATGCATTGCTAGCTGCATGCATCGGGAATAAGTCATATATATCTATAGATCAACGAAAGGCATCAAAAAAGTTAGTTGTTTCTGAATTGAGTTTACATATAATTAGGGCCCTTCTTTTCACCACATAGTTTAACTATATTCAATATTCGTACGTACTTTGGTTCAAGATTAGGTTGCATTACTAGCTAGCTTCTGAATGTTACCATATATATGCACAAGGACATGGTACACATATTTATTAACAATTCATCATGCATCTTTTCAGATTGCGTGTTAATTATATACCATGCTATTGTGAGTGCTACTTACATATATATATATATATATATATATATATATATATATATATATATATATATATATATATATATATATATATATATATATATATATATATATATATATAAACTAAATGAAACATATAACTTTATATGTTCCATACCGTACCACCAACAAGCAACAATTTATTAACTTTTCACACTCTTCGATCTTCCATGTAGAGACATTTAGGTAGCAAAGAAAAGAGTCATGCATCCTGGAACTAGAACAGGTTTATGACAAAACCTGCAGTAAGCAAACCGATCATCACTACTGTTGCATGACAATGATACAATACCATAACATATATACCATACCATCACCATCAATTAAAGTTTTCAAGGTATTATTGCTTTCTAAATATAAAAATAATCCATATAAGTTGATGTTAGCACTAGAAATAACATGTGTCAGTGGTTGCAGTTCTTGTCAAATGAAAAAAATACCCAATTCGCATGACTGGTTCTCTATTTAAAGTAGCACTAAAATAATTGGAAAAAAAAAAGGGTGATAGAATTATACAAGACGAATTACCTGACATACATATGTTAAGATAAGTTACATTACTATTTTAACATAACTCTTCATTCAGATAAAATGCATTTTCCTGCAAAGCTTTTAATCAACTAATAATGTCTACTCAAACTGCTACTTGTCCCTTTAATTAATGTTAAAGTTTGTAGAAATTTGGATGTTTAATTTCTTTGCATAACAATGTATAAAGTAGCAAAAAGTAAAATAAAACAGAAAAATCATTAAGTGATTGTTTATCAGAATATATACAAGAGGGTTGATCAAACAGTAACGTTTGTAAAATTAATTTTAATTATATATTATATTCAAGAGCTGCTTCTGCCAATGTCTCTCAAGTTATGGAATGAAAATTCATGAGTTTGGGGAAATGAGCTAATTTCTAGGAAGCAACGATATCTGTTCAAGATATATACAAAAGAAAGAGTATCTGTGTTCATATCTTTTCCTTCCATATCCCTTCTATTAACACATCAGCAAAAAGGAAAAGAAAAACTATAATGTCAAATAAAATGAATGCTAATTTTTTAAAATATACTTAAATTGGAAGGTCAAAGGAAAAGATAAGAAATAAGAACAAGTAATTATTATAATCCATACTCAAGGACATCGTACGTACATTTGTTCTTAAACTTTATTTTAAGGTCATCCTTTCAAGCTACATCGTATGCATTATTCATTGTCAGATGTTTGTTGCGATCACAGACATTATAGTTTAATCTTTCAAGCTTCAGCACATTGGTAATTGAATTAGCTTGGATCACGGAACTGCACTGTGCTAACTAACTAAAGTGGCCAAAACTACTTTTTCTCTTTTAACATAAATGAAATTAAATGATGGAATTCATACATATGCATACAAGAAAGAAAGAGAACTCCTCCATTTCGTTCGGTACTTATTCTAACGTGTGCCCAGAATGGTTTCTCATTGAGGTACCTATAACTGAAATAACAAAGATTCAAATACAAAATATTTTCATCCCATATGTATAGCTAGCAGTGCCATACCTACAAACTCACGCATGTACTCACCTTGGTTCAAAGTGTATAAAATATAATGTGATTTAGCTTCTTGAGTGATTTCTATGAAGAATCTTCTCACATCCGATGCACGATATGAAGGCCTGCATATAGAGCCAACTTTCTAACACTTTGGAAGGAACAATGGTGAGGAGACTCAAGAAGTGCTACCCTTATCATGTTGGCTACGGATGCTATCTGAATCCAAAAGCTTTGAATTAAAGGGTGCTGCTGGGAAGGGTCTGACATGTGAATTGAACGAGTGAAGAGATGGCATGAGAGAATGAGGCAAGACTTGAGAACCTGAGTTCAAGAACTGGATGTGGTTGAACTGTCTAGGATCGTTGTCCACTGAGGGTGTAATAAATGGAGCATAGGTAAACATTGATGGTGTAGCAGAAGATGAACCAAACAAAATTTGAGAACCAGATGAAGGTAATGGCATAGAAGATGGGAACTGCACACCATTGCCACCGCTTGGACTGGGATCTACCTGCTGGGTAGGAAACAACCCATATCCTCCAAATTGGGATAAGGACAAACTAGAAGGCTCAGCATTGTAGGGGTTATATGACATGGTATTGTTTAACAAACCAGGTAAAAGGGAGTGAGTAGTGGTGGTACCACTACCCATTGGGAAAAGCCTCTGAGTAGAAACATGCAAGTTGTTGTAGTCTCCAACAGCATCATCTTCATGATTTTCTTGCTCATTTGTTTTGACCCACTTGCCCTTTTCAGCTTCCTTGCCTTTTAATCTTGATATGGGATCTATACTATCCCAATACCTTGACTTTGCCATGAGGTTTTGAATCCCACCATCCCTTGCAAATGTTGAGGTAGAATCGCAGAAGGGTCCTAGAGAAAGCTGAGAGGCACTTGAATCATGAAAGGGGAGTAGGGTTTGTGGATGATGAAATTGACCAAAACCCTGAGGGAATTGAAGTGGAGGGAGCTTGTCAATGTCAAACTTAGTGGCTTCAAGCAACCAATCTATCACTTTGCTGGGTTGGCTTAGCCCAAGCTTGTCTTGAAGATCATAGAGCTGGATTGCTGTGGGCACTGAGAGCCTAATCCTTCTGTCCCTCAACCCTCTTATTGTGCAAACCTTGCTGTGCCTATCTTTTCCTCCGAAAGAACGCGACACTCTCACAATTCTTGGATTTCTGAACGCGGACCATTGTCTTGTAGTGGACGATCCCTTGGAAAATTTGTCAGCATTAATGATGCTACCTTCTTGCTTAGCTTGTTGACCTTCTCTTGAACTCGCCATCATCATCAACTACTTAGTTCATCATTGCGGTTGTTTCCTTGAATTATCTTTCTCTTCTGCATATATATGGGGCGCTGCAAGTAACCCTCTGACAAACAAAGAAAATTTTTATCTGTTGGTATTAGAAATAGAAACCCTTTTCTCATATTCTTACACAATTTCTGTGGAAAACTTATTACAAGGTTATTCAAAAGCTGTTGCATTCTTGACTACGAAAATATTCTCATTTTCAGTAGTTAGTAAATGAAAGAAACAGAATAACATAATTAGAGAGCGAAAAGGTAAGGTTCTGGAAGTAGTAATCTTAAAAAAAAAATGAAAGTTCTACACTGAAACCAGTTTTTCCATTTGACTCCACTGCTGCCGAAGTCATGTTATTTCTCGAAAATTGAAGTGAGGAGGATTCTATTTACTCAATTGATAGCTTGTGAAACCAAATTTGGAGCAAAATCATAGCCTTGGATGTTGAGATTTGTGCATTTATAAAATAGGATTTCACTGAAAATAGAAGAATGAGAAGCATAAGGCTTAAGTATTAAAATGGCAAGAACCAACTTACACGAGAGAGAAAATTGTGGATGCTATCTGGTTATTCTGTTCTATGCCTTCCACCATAACCTAGAAAGAGAAGAAATGAAAGGGAAAGGATATAGAACTACCCTAAAATTAAAGTCTTTCCGAAATGAGCACCTAAATGTTAATTATTTGAGCAGATGACCCCAACCTTAGATTTCAGCCTATTCTCTCAAAGGGCACAATTCACTCTACAATTAAGAATTTTATAAGTGAGAAGTGAAATTGTGAATTTTATAGCATTCAGCTTTTAGCATTTTAATGTAAAAAGTAAATGATCATTGATCACGTGGCATCCTTTTAAAGTGACACGTCAAGAAAATGGCAGTGTTAATTTTTTCGATCTGCTCATACCACATACTGAACAATCACTGGCTTAATCATTAACTGTTATCATTATAATTATTCAATTGAGTGTTGGAAGGCACACTAGCTGCAAGCTTCAATATTGGACTAGACACTGCCGGCACAAAGGGAGAAAGATAAAAAGAAAAGACAGAGAAAAAGATGATCTTCAATCCATTTGTAACTTGATTTTTTATTTACAAAATAAAACTAAAGAAGAAGAAGAAGAAGAAGAAGAAGAAGAAAGCAGGGTTTACACTTTTTTGAGTAACCACATGTATCTTTATCAAGAAATTCGCACTGATGTAAAGGAGGCAAAGAGAATTCCACACAGCATTATCTAAAGAACTAATGCATTTCTGATAGTATTAAAAGCAAGATCCTGTAAGAGTGAAACCTAAGAATATTTATAAGAATGAAATCCCTTTGGCGTGTTATATTGTCTTGGAATTATTCGCATACCAAATGATCTTAATTAAGATGATAATAAGATTTGCAGTCAGTTACAGAAAACTAAACTAACAGAAACAAGAGTGGCAGAAATTCAACCAGAGGAGTCATAATCACTTTCAAAAGATGTGGTGTATGGTATTTGAGTGTGATCAGTTGGATTAGAAGATAGATCATAGATAGCTGCGCTGTAGATGAGGGACCAACTTAGGTCTTAAAAAGCATCCACTCAACTCATAGAAAGAGGGACCACAGGCAGATGGCAGTGAGATTTGCACGGCACAAGTTGAAAGATCTGACTTTCATTATTCTGAAACATAAATATCAAAATTTGGTTTAGTAACCTAATTGCGTGTGTTTATTACTTCATTAAGGTGCATGTGCTACCCCCATAAGATGTGGATACATACATGCTAAGTTGATCAAAAGTGTGGTATAAAGCATCGAGAATTTTAGTGCCGGGATTTGACTTGCTAACTTGAATAATTTGGCACACCATATAGGCTCCATCGTTTCCTAATTGTGTTGTTGTCTTGAGTAGGTGTTTAAATATTTAGAGTACTTTGTAGCCTGCCAAACAAGAAAAACCCTAACAGATAATTATTGCAACCTCTGAAAGAGTGAAATTAACATTTTACTCTTCAAATGTGGGCTTGATCAACAGTGAACGAGTAAAAATGGGCTAGTACCAGATTAGTTTTTCAAGATTTGAGGGAGCCCTGGGCAAGTCTTTACACAAAAGGAGTAAAAAAATGTAACGAATTAATTTTCTTACAGATTTCCTAATAACTCAACTGAAGTTGTAACAGTGTTATAGTTGGTAATTAAACAGTGTGCTTTTAAGAACAAGAAACCTTGAAAAAGCTGTGCTGTGTCCCCCAGTGTGTGAAGGGTAAGAGCCTGCAGATTTTCCTTCAAAACCAAGCGATATCTAGAATAAATTGGGATTTCCAACAAAATAATTGAGAGGTTCATCTCAGGACACTGCAACTGCAGTTTTATTTGTCAAAAGCTGAACCTACTTTATATAGTTTTTAAGCTTCATATATAACCTATATGAATTCAAACCATATGAACCCCAGAAACCTACCAACAATATGCATTCAATGTCAAATTTCATTTCTGCACCCCAGCCGTACCTAGGTTTTCTTTAGACACATTTTATAACAATTATAAGAAATACACAAATAATGAATATTATAATTAAAAACCCTAAATTTAAATTCATTAAACCCAAAACATAAACAAAACTAAACCTTGTCCTTTCAAAAAGATCGATTGTTATTAATCTTTTCTTTTACGGAGTGAATGATCATGATTACACTGATATCTAGCTTAATTATGTGGTGTTTGGGTAGAAAATTCCAAATTAAAAAAAAATGAATTGCAAATTACTTTGAATTTAATTTGTTTCAATTTTAAAATATTTTATTTCAATAGGACAATTTAAATTTATTAAACTTTAATTTTATTATTTAATAGATTGTTTCAATTATATCTTAATAAAAAAATAGTTAAATATTAAATTCTATTTAATAACTAAAACAGTTCACATCCATTAAAGTTATTTTTTATTGAATTCCGATCATAACTATTTCAGCTTATATTAATTGGTGTTATTTTTTTTTTATCCAGGTTGAACATGAGACATTCTGATCAAAACTGAGTAGACACCTCATTGATCAAAATGGAACTCTAAAAAAAAGAAAAAAATTATACGAGAAATAAGAGAGAATGAAAATTTTCTATTCTTACTTTTTTTTTTTAATGAAATTTGAAATAGTTAAGTTATTCTAAAAAATTTCTCAAATTTCAATTTTAAAATTCTATATCTAAACAATATATTTTACTATAAAACATTTAAATTTCTTTGTAAAAACTTTCCTCTAGTATTTTACATAATCACCAAAAGGGTTATTTTATGTACTTTTCTTTCTATCTGGCATAACCACAACGGGAGTTTTAGATGAACTCGCTTCGACCAACACGATCCAGAAACTGCGTCTTCATTTTTTTATAATAGAAATGAATGATAAATGCATATGTTGTGCTATTGAAGCTAACAATTCATTTTTGGTCTGAACTTATTTGATTGATGAAATAGAACGAAGAAAGATGAAATAAATTTACATTCTATATTTGGATATTTACAATCAGCAAAACGACGAATTTATATCATCGTTGTTTGATTACAATCCCTCAAAAGCAATTTTTAGAGAAAGGAAATGACAAAAGCAAAGATGAAAAACAAAACGCCATAATACTAGATTTGTAAACTAAGAAGACGAAGAGCTAATGTATCATTGGAATGGATATTTTTCAACTTGCCTTAGAATGATGAAGATTGACAAGCAAAAGGTGAAAATTTCCGATCATAAGGTATAAGGTTTTGTGAATTTGTTTGGAGTTTAATGGTGGCAAATTGTGGCCATGGCATGGTGGGTAGAAATGTTACAGTGGTGTTGTTGGTAAGTGATAGAAGTGGAGAAGAAACTCATCTATGCTTAGGGCAAGCACTCATAAAGATTTGCCTTCATCAAGTTTATCCCAAATAAGGAGAGAAGAGGTTAATGGAAATAAAATTGATACCACAAGTCATTCTTTTCCTACTCTATTCCTCTCCATTTCACAATCTACCTCCAATCGAAGCATAACCTTAGGTTAGGTAGGAATTGTTGGTTTATGTAGGAGAAATTGAACCAAACAAATTATTACCTTTTTTTTTTAAAAAAAGAAGAGAATATTTTTAATGACAATGTTTGAAATAAACTTCTAAAAATTTATCTTAAAAGCTTTTAAATTCTATTTCTTCTTTTTCTTTTGAATTTCAAATGTTAAGATCTAAAACTCGATACAGTAAATTTTATTTTAAAATAACTTTTGAACCTAATATATATATATATATATATATATATATATATATATATTACTTTATTTATTTATAAAAATAGCACATTATCTTTTATTTCTGATAACTTGCATAGATGTTATTAGGAATACGTCAAACAAACAAAATTTAGGCGTACCTAATCATGATTGATGATTATCTGGTGTGGAAAAAGAATCTTCCACCAAATACCCCTTCAAAATATAATGTTTTTTTTTAGAGCAAATAAAATTTTCTATTAAAATATATTAATGTGTCATTATAATTTTCTAATATACCCCGCCATGTAATTGAATAAAACAATTATATTTATTAATTCTTTAACAAATGCGTTAAGATACGAATTTTCGAGACACCCTTAAGTTTTAAGGTTGTTTGTTTTTAAGTTTATCTTAAAAAATAAGTGTATAAAAAAAATACCAAATTTTACTTGGTCTTTTAAAGATTTAATGAATTTGATGCTAGGTTATTGTATTATTTTCTATGATTTACAACTGATAATTTATTTAAACAATAGTAAAATTATTTTTGCTAATAATGAATCAAAATTAGACAATTTTACAAAATTATTATGTTCTTTTGACACAATACGTAAATGTGTGTTAATTTGAATGCATTTTGATGGATAACTCGTTCTTTATGTCAAACACTTGATTAATTTTTATATTTTTCTAATATCTCATTTATTTTTAACTTGTCTAAAGTTACGCGTAGATTAATTAAAATTTATATGGAAAACTATTTAGTTTTTCCATAAATGTTTAAAGAAAAAATGAGTTAAGGTGTAGATGAAGTGACACTACTGCTGCATACATATTTGTTTTTTTCTTCTCTCTCTCTTACGCTTCTGGTGTCGATAAGTACAAAAGTGTTTATTGATAATTTCCCTAACGAATAATAACGGTGAACAATGGGCACCTACACGTAGGGTTGTAAGTGACAGTTTATTAAAAAAATACACAAACAATTAATCCCTCCAAGCATGTCCAAAATAATGGATGCTATATATAGATGTTATATAAGGGAAAAACGAGAGACGAATTTTCATTGATGTACTACGTAGTTGTTGCTTTTTCGTGAAAAATGCAAACTGAAAACGCTATATCAGGTACCATCATCACCACTGTCCACTGAGTAGTGAGTATCTCGCTAATGAATGAATGTATATTCCATCAACATCACCACTGTAAGATATTCACAACATAATGACCCATCAAATAAATGCGTGTGCTGTCAAATGGATAGATATTTTGGAGATAATATAGAGAGGTTGAGGTTGTAAGGGGGAGACTGAATTGCAAATTCCCATTGTCGGTTGGAGAAATGAGTCAATGTATGTATGTATATGAATATGTATATGTATATGTATATGTATATGTATATGTATATGTGTGTAATCTCAATAAGGATGATGAATTAAAAACCGGTAAACCTGGCTATAAACATTCTTGATTTTGATTTACCTCTGCTGTCAACGAGTGCAGCTATTGTACTGTGACAGCAGCAAAAAGCTTGGCAGGACACAGGGCTCGCAGAACAGAAAGTGAAGACAAGAGGTTAAGGGAATAGTTTATGCATAGATTCAGTTCTTTGATTCCTTCTTAATGTAACGTTTTCAATTTGAAAAATGGTTCAACGAAAACCTAACAGGATGTTTTACGGTTTCTATTTTGAGTTGAATGAAGTCTAATATTTACTTATATATATATTAAAGAGTTTTTACCTTTTAAAAGTTTGCAAGCGCTTTACTTAATGAAACTAGAGTAGGTGTTTATTGTAGCTTTTGCATTGTTCAGTTGGAACGATGTTAGGTTTAGACATGAATGAGTCTTATAGCATGTTGTTCAAGAGTCTTTAACATTGGATGCAATCTTTAACAGAACCAACCTTTAAGGAATTTTTTGAAAATAAGTTAGCTAATTATTGTTCAATGGGTACAAACTATAGGTTTATTGTAATTCTTTGAAGATGGTCTATTATAAAATCATGCTTGATTCCAATATATCTGAATATTGAATACAAAGATGAACTTTTATAAAGAAATAATGATAACATCTTTATTATCCACTTAATATAATGATTTTTTAACATTGTTTTTTTATCATTGAAATTTTTAAGTCAAAGTAGAAAATACACATCACAAAAGAGATAAAGATGAAGCTAAATCATGATTCAGACGAAGATAAAGATATTTTTAAAGAAGTCTGAATTGTGTTGGTAGTGGTGATATATAAATTTACATAACCATCTCAAAAGATGTCAAGAAGCTCTTTAAGAGCTCTTGTCATGCATTTAGCACTTCGTGACATCTCCATTTAATATTTCTCCACCTTTTAGGGTACGAAGGAGAATAGAAGAATAAACAAGAGCATATAATTAAAAAAAAAAGTCAAAAATATTTTTGTTTTAAAAAAATGTATTTATTTTATATTATTTAATGATTAAAATTTATTTATTTTTAATTTTTAATATAGGTTTAATTGTATATTATCACATATTTTTGGGTTTTATTAAGGTCAAATAAGAGAAAAAATCTTTAGTTAAGAGTAGAATTATCAAAAAATAGGTTGTTCAACTTAGTTTTACAGGTAAAGTAAAAAAAATATTAATGATTTAACTTGACCTATATTTTAAATTGAATCATAATTTTTAGTTTAATTTGATCTTATGTTAGATCAACCAACTAACAACTCAAATTTAATCTGATTAAAAAAATTATCAATGTGTTTATACCAATAAAATTAATTAAAAATATTTAAATAAAAATAAAATAAAAAATATATTTTTAAAAATTAAATTATATTAATAAAATTAATTTTTATTGAAGATATAATGATTTAATATATAAATTATAAGAGAATAAATGCATTAAATATTAGAATAAGAGTTAAAAACTTACTTTTCTTAACATTATTCTTATTTTAGTAATTTACTAATCTAATATAGTAATTAATTTTAACTATTATATCTTAAAATAAGTGGATTATTAAAAACTAACTCCCATATTTATTCTTAAAATAAATAAATTTTTTATTAAATTAATTTATAATATATATATATATATAATAAAATAATATTATTTTATTTTTAATTATTATTTTAGAAAACGGACTGATTGGTAAGTTTGTGGATTAACGTAACCTATTTTGATATTCTTATCCAAGAGTAAGCAATTAAAGTAAGCAAATAAAGAACACGTGTGGGCTTCAACTACATTCACATTCTTAGCTCAATTTTAGTGATTTTTTTTAAAAAAAAAAAAAAAAAAAAAAAAAAAAAAAAACATATAAAGCAATCAAGAAAAGTTGGCAAGGAAAGCATGAACCATAGATGAAATGCACCTCACCTTGATCACACTTTTATAGTCAAAATTATATTTGAATTTTCACTTTAAATTCTCCTTTCAGCTTCATTTAAATTAAAATTTCACTTTATTAGTTTTATTAGAATTTGAATCTTCATTTCTATTTTATTTATAATTTCATATCCATGGTTATAAATAACCACAATTTCTTATCTAAAATCACTTTATAACATATAATAATTAAATTTTGGAGAAAAACACTTTTATTAGTGTTTTTTTTAATCTTATCTTAATTTCTAAGAATAAAATATGGATTATTTACTGTTTATCTTAAAGAAACCTTTTAAAATAATATGACTTTTACGAATTTCATAAGTCTTTTATCTTTTCGTTATCTTTTTTTTTTTTTTTCAATTTTGATTTGGGTCTCTCTTTGATTCTCATGGTGATATCTTCCTTTGTTTCATTTATTTTGATTATGTGTTGATCTTATTCATATTATTTCATAAAAAAAACATTCTCACTTATTTAAGAAATTAAACTTATATCCAATAACAAGTGATGAAATAATTATTTGTTTCTTGTTTTTCTTTCCTTATTTTATTATAATCATTTACCCTTATTTAAACAAGTAAACTCATGTAAAGGGAAGAGTAATATAATTATAATAATTGAATCTAAATTAAACTCAAACTATAAAACAAATTAATCTAATAAAAAACATATTCAAATATCACGTTATATTTTTTCTCCTCAAATGGTCCAAAACAAACACCCAACAAATTGACGACTTGTATCTTTCTCATTGTCACAGGTGGGTGTGGGGGTTATCTTCATTCATGTTGTATTGGTAGGAAGTGTGTGGGTGGGGGTAGTTGGTGAAAGGAAACGTGTTCGTAATGTGGGAAAAGAGATTGACATTTGTGGATGAGAAGTGGGGAAGGAACATGTGGCTAATGATGGATTTATTAATAAAAGATTTGGGATCAATGCTTGTGTTGGTAGGAGGGAAGAAAATGTATTGTTGTACAATACTTGATGCTCACTAAATTAAATTTGTTTTCTTAGTTAATCTCATCAGTTTCACAGGATTGATGAGAAGATACTTATAATGTTTGAGGATGTTATCATCTATATATATCAATATAAAAATGAGCAAAATTTCTAACGCTATATAAGCATCATTTTTTTTTCTCAGCAGTGTGTACCAAATATTGATGGAGTGCATTCTAACCTATCAACACATTATGAAACACCACCAACACTAACAAATTTACAAATATTATTTCATAAATATATTAAATACTATAAAAACATATATGATCAGAAGGATACTCACATGAATTATTTTGTTAATTCATAAAATACTCATAAATCATGAAATATTGGAACCTTTATGACACAGTATGGTAATACGATAAAAATATAATTTGATTGTGATAATATCATGACACATTGATTTGCATATGATGGTATGATATGGTATCAATGATGTGAATGAGATTGGATTAGGATGGTAATGAGAAAAATATGTTGAGCTCTACGAATGTGTTATGAAAGTGATAACAAATAAATGAAATTGTGATGGTGGTGTTATCAACTATCAAGTAAATGAAGTGTAACGAAAGTGATAGCCGATAAATGAAAGATATTGGTGTCATCAACAATGAATATGTTATGAAAGGGAAAATTGATAACTGAAATTTGTGATGTTGGTGTAATCAACAATAAGTATTAGGTGTGGATATCAAAAAGATACATTATCTATCATTAAAAATAGAAATATCAAAATAAGTTTAACTCAATAAATTAATTTGATAGGTCCAAGAAATATGTTAGATTAAACTAAAAACTTTGTGATCTAAATTGAATTAAATTTATTTTGGTTCGACATATTTAAATGATGACATGACCTACAAGGGTTTTGAATAGACTAGCCCATAAACTTATGCATCAGATCGTTTTATAGAATAATAGTAATTTTTAAATAGAAATAAAAATAATATTATTTTATTTGATAAGAGATTTATTTATTCTAAGAGTAAATATTAGATTAAGTTTTTAACAACCACTTATTTCAAGATCTAATGATAAAGATTAATTATTATTTTAGATTATTAAATTACTAAAAAATAAATAATAATAATAATAACGAAGAATAAGTTTTTAATTCTTATTTTGATATTAGTTAGATATTTCCTCTTATAATCTATATATTAAAACATTATATCTTAAATAAAAACTAATTTCATTAAAATACTTTAAATATATTTATATATATATATATATAATAATTAATTAATTTAGTATAAATATGTTAGTATTTTTCAAAAAACAAATTCATTTAGGTCAAAATTGGATCATTAGCCCGTTGACCTAACATAGAGTAAGACTAGACTAAAAATTTTAGCTCATTTTAAAATATTAGTAGAATAGACTATCAAATTTTTTTATTTGATCGATAAGACCATACAAAACTAGATTAGGCCACCTATTTTAACATCTATAGTTAGGAAGATGTCTTGGACACATGAGAGAGAATGAGATGGTGGTGAAATTATCTCGCTTGTCTACGATGAGCTTGAGGAATATTATAGATCACACACTTCATTTTCAATTGATAATTCGACTATACTTATTGTCAAGGAGTTTAATGGAGCACCTTGTATCTATGGGCCATATTGTTATTGACAATTATGTTGATAAGATTGATTGAGATTCCTAAATTTCTTAAATATTAGGAAACCTTTAATCACAGTGATATGTAGAGCTGTTAAAACGGATGATCCAGTCTAACTTAACTTAGTCTTATAGGTCAAGTAAAAAATCTATGTTTTAAAATGGACGATAACTTTTAGTCTAGTCTGACTTTATGTTAGACAAACAAACTAACGGACTAATTGTGACCTGATTGAAAATTAAAACAAATATTAACATATCTATACTAAAATAATTAATTTAAAAATATTTAAATAAAAATATTTTTAAATTATGATTATATTAATAAAATTAGTTTTTATTTATGATATAATAATTTAATATATAAGTTATAAGATAATGCATTATTCAATCTCAAAATAAGAATTAAAAACTTCTTTTTCGTTATTATCATTTATATATTAGTAATTTATTAATCTAAAATAATAATTAATCTTAGGAATAAATTATTATTAAAGACTTATTTTAATATTTATTTTTAGAAAATTTAATCTCTTGTCAAATTAATTTATAATATATATATATATATATATATATATTAATAAAATAATATTACTTTTTTTAATAATTATTATTTTATAAAATAAACCAGTCGATAAACCTATAGACTAATCTAACCTAAATTGATATCTATAGACTCATCTAACCTAAATTGATATAAATAATGACTTTGAGAAAAGACAGACTAAAAGACTATAATTATTTTTTCAAACCTAATATATTTTTTCAACCTTCAACCCCATCAAACTACACCTATCCTATCACACTAGATATATGAATCATAGATCATTTAAAAGCCTTGCATAATAATATTTTATATTTATGTTTAATAATATTGAGTGATTGAGATAAGTAATTTATGTTGCTTTCTGAAATTAATTTGATGACAGCTTTTATAAAATGTTTCAGGGAATAAACTGCACCATTGGACTTTGTTTTATTAAATTTTTTAAAATATTGATATTAATTAGTAAAATCAATACTATAACTTTAATTATTATTTAAATATTTGTACATCTAATTTAAATGTAAAAATATATGATTTAAGAAAATATTTTTAATTTGATGATTAAATTAAAATTTATTAATTAAATAATTAAATGAATAAAAATATTTATATTTATTAATCAAGTAAATAATAGATTAATATTAATTAATTAAATAAATAATAAAGTAATATTTATTAATTAAATAAATAATAGAATAATATTTATTAATTATATAATTAATATATTAATATTTATAAATTAAATAAATAATATATTAATATTCATTCATTAAATAAATAATATAGATTAGTTTTTATTAATTAAATAAATAATATATTAATATTCATTCATTAAATAAATAATATAGATTAGTTTTTATTAATTAAATAAATAATAGATCACTATTTATTAATTAAATAATTAATAGATTAATATTTATTAATTAAATAAATAATAAATTAATATTAACTTATTAAATAAATAATATATTAATATTTATTAATTAAATAAATAATAGATCAATATTTGTTAATTATTTTAATAAAAAACATTAACATTAAATAATGAATAAATTAATCTTTATTAATTAAATAAATTATAGATTAATATTTATTCATTAAATAATTAATAACTTAATATTTAAACAACTCTTAGATTAACATTTTTTAATTAGTTAATTAAGTGATTCATTAATACTTTGAATTAAATAAATAATACATTAATTTTTATTAATCAATTAATTATTAAATTTTAATAATATATATGATTCAATATATATATATATATATATATATATATATATATATATATATGTTTCGTATATATTAGTTTAAATTTTGTAATGCTTCTAAGTATGTAAATAGAAAATAGAAATTTTAATTTAAGTAGGAGAGGTACATGGATTAAAAAAAACGGGTGAACAATAAATTATTACTTTGTAGTTTTAATTATATATATATATATATATATATATATATATATATATATATATAATTCTTGTTGAAAAATTACACTAATAAATGAATTCGATAAAGTCGATTAATAAGCTAATATAAATGATTGTCATTTGAAATATATTAAAAGTTGAACTTTATTAAATATAAGGAAGAAATGAATATTTTCATATAAAGATATTAAATAAGTCAAAATAAGAAAAGAAGAATAGATAAGCAAAGTATTTAATGAGAATTCCATTATATGTAAAGAATATAAAGATTATATTTATAAGTATTTTACTAAAATATTTTAGATATTAAATATAATTATTTTAAAATCATTTAATATCTCAATAATGTGATATTTGTTTGATTATAATCCAAAGTATATTTATTCTGTGTGTTTTGTAGTAATACACCTTTAAGAAGATCAAATAAGAGAATATTCCACTTAATATTATATAATTAATGCGGAAATTTGGAAAGATACATAAGCTCCTAGTATCAAAGTCTAACTTCAATGTAAATAAGTAAATTCAATCTATGGAATCCTTTAAGAGTTATCCTAGTTAAATTGGATCTTTATTAATCTTTGGTTCATGTGAGTCAATTGTTTCTCTCCACTACGGTGTAATTAAGTCAATTTAACAACTACAATTCTTTTTTGTTTGACAAGCTGTTTTTACTAAGTTATACTTTCTTGAATTAGAAATTTATAAAGCATTACTAAGGTTGAGCTAAACTCAATTTAAAACTATGATCAAGGCATGTTTGATTTAGACCTACGACCAAAGTGTGTTTAATTTAGACCTATAACCGAAGTGTGTTTGACTTATAGCTATAACCAAAGCATTCCCGATTTAAAACTATAACTAAGGTGATATTAAGTGTAATGACATATTATTATTATGATGTAATGACATGCTTGAACAATTGTAATAATGTATTCATACATCAATTGTTATGACGTAATGATGTGATATATTCGAATAATTGTAATGACATGCAAAAACGGAGGAAGGGGGGACTGGCAAGGGCCACAATCCCTCCGAACAATTATTTTAAAATTTTATTAAAAAATATATTACGACCTCCTTAAAATTTAATTTGTTTGGATTGATTCTCTTAAAACTAGTTTTTCTGATGATATGGTCGAACAATTATTATGGCGAGTTTGATTATAGTTTTACCTTTTTACACTAGCTTTGGTTAAACGAAAAAATTGTTATGACAAGCTCGACAAGCCTCATCCTAGCTCATTGCTAGGTGAACAAATTTATTATGACAAACTCAACAAACTTCATCTTTTCACACTAGCTCTCATTAGGTGAAAAATTTTGTTATCACAAGTTCGACAAACTTTGCCCTTTCATACTAGCTATTGCTAGATGAAAAATTGTTATGACGAATTCGTAAGTTTTTCCCTTTCAAACTAGTTTTTAACTAGGTGAAAAATTTCTTATGACGAGCTCTACAAGCTTCACCTTCTCATATTAGCTCTTATTAGGCGAAAAATTTTGATATTATGAACTTAACAAGTTTTCCCTTTTCACAAACTTTTAACTAGATGGAAAATTTCTTATGAAAAACTCAATAGGTTTCATCCTTCCACTCTAGCTTTCGCTAGACATAAAATTTTGTCATGGCAAAATCGACAAGCTTCACCTTTTCATTCTAACTATCAGTTAGGTGAAATTTTTTGTTATGATGAGCTTGACACATTTCTCCCTTTTACACTAACTCTTAACTAGGTAGAGAATTTTGTTATGATGAGCTCAACAAACTTCACCTTTTCACACTAGCTCTCAACTAGGCGAAAAATCCCATAAGATAGTTTATTTTAAAACATTTACCTTAATTGTAATATGTCTTTAGATTTGTTAATTAGGGGTAACCCATTCACCAAGTAATGCATATTTGGCGTCATCCATGTTGGTTTTGTGGGGTCAAAATGTGAAATATATCCTTATCCCAACCTGGATAAGATTTTTTTATGACTTATATCTTTGTATGAAGTGATTTAATGATCCAACTTAGATAAGATCTTCTATGATTTCTCATACTTTTTTATAGTTTTCAATTGTATGTCCATAATTTTGATATCATACGCACAAATTAGTCTAATCTACATTTGTAGGTGTAGTGACACATTTTGATAGTTTGACAAATTCCAAATTACATGTTTTTTTTTCATAAAATTATCTCAACGCAAGCGTTGAAAGACATTAAGTTCCTCTCTTCGCGCCTATCATCATGTTTGAATATTTTGTCTAAACCATATTTGTGGGCCAAGATCTCCCTCTTTTGGTATCTTCTTTTTCATACTTTAATATTTTCTTTCAATTGAATGAACCTGAATGCTCAAGTTTTGAGCTCTTCTAATGTATTTGGGTAGTTCATGTATAAACTATCTATAAATGACCATTGTTTCAATCTTGTTATCATAGCGTGTATAGTTACATGAGGGGATAAATTGTGAATGATTATAATTACCTTAATAAATTTGCTTAAGAACTCATTTCTTTCTTGTCTTAATCTCTAGAGAGTGAATAAAGTAGGTTGGTGTGATCAGTTAACTACAAAATTAGCTCAAAAATTCTCACTTAATTTGAAAAAAATGAATTTTTATTGACCCATGAAGTAGATCATAGAACTATCTTAGTATTAGTCCTCTTAACGTCATAAGAAAAATCCTACACAAGAAAATATTGTTTTCTCCAAATATGTTGATAGGTGTAAGACAAGCTCGAGTATGCTCATCCGGGTCAGTACCTCATTCGAATTTCTCCACATTAGGAGCTTTCCATTCTGAGAGTAAGCGTTCCTCCATTATATTAAGGATAAAAGACCTTCCAAGCTTTAACTTCGATAGTCCTTGAGTATTGAGAGATTGAGTTAGCATTATGCTCGAGACATATTGATTTTTTCAATTAGCTTCGCCAATCTTGAGACAAGATTCTACTTCTGTGTTGCTTTGAGGGTTGTTCTGAACCTTATCTTCTTGGATTGGAGATTGTTAGCTCTAGGGAGATCGTGGCCTTTCCAAAGCATGTAGTTGTCTCTCCAACTCTCGG